AATTAATTAATAATCCTTTATAAATGTCATGAATAATTTGCAATACTGTATAATAAATGAGAACTAATAATATTTATGAACACATTTCGTAAATCAATTAACAAAATAAAGTCATATATTGTCAGTAGATATAATTAAGTCTAAAATTGAGATTAATTAGTAGTTCAATAAATAGAGAGTTATATTAAATCAAAGATTCAATTATACGATAAATGAGAAAACAAAACATAACTAATGAGATAATAATACTAATAAATACTGTACTTGAATATAAAACACAATAAGTGATTGCATCCAAACAATAATCAGCAATAATTTGAGTAAAATTATAAATTTGTGGCAAAATTAAAATAATCCACTGAAACATAAACACAGAATTAATGTGTAATTATAACAAAACATTTTCAACATTAATGGCAATCAATGGTCAGTTATTCAACTCATAGAAGTCGGGCGTCTTTTGCGAGCGAATAAAATATGGTGTCTTTGTTTTGGAGCAGATTTTGAGGCGAATCAAACTCACCGACACTGCCCTTCTCCAGGACTAACACCCGATTTGAGTCCATGATTGTATTGAGTCTGTGAGCGATCGTCAAAATAGTGCACTCTTTGAACTCCTTTCTGATTGTCGTTTGGATTAAGGAATCAGTTTCGAGATCGACAGCAGCGGTCGCCTCATCCAGAACTAGGATACGGCTCTTTCGTAGCAGAGCTCGGGCTAAACATTGAGATGAATACAGCGGTCAATTGATTACCTCATTATATGCTGTAAATGTGATAACAAATACCTAAACAAATGAGTTGTCTCTGTCCGACCGATAAATTCTCGCCGCCTTCAGTCACTTTGTGTTCGAGTTCAGCGTCGAGTCCTTTGATGTGGTGTTTGAGATGCGAGTGCTCTAAAGCCGTCCAAATTTGTTCGTCAGAGTATCTGATCGTCAAAACATAATTGTTTGTCAATACGATGTCAAACAGAATAATCATAAAATGACAGACATCTTGAATGGATCCAAATTGGTTCGAATGGTTCCAGAGAACAGGATGGGATCCTGTGGTATAATTGTGAGGCGAGTCCTGAGGTCGTGGAGACCTATTTTGCTGATATCAATGCCGTCGATAACAATCCTTCCGTTGGCCGCCTCTAGGATTCTAAACAAGCTTAGAGTCAAAGACGACTTGCCGGCACCGGTGCGCCCAACGATCCCGACCTGTTTACAGACAATGTATGCGTTCATACGGTATAAGATTAGAATGAATGAGAAATATAAAAAAGACAACCTTTTCCAAGGGCTCAATCTTGGTGTTAATCTCTCGCAGAACCAAATCAAGTCCCGGACGGTATCGAACAGAATAGTCGACAAATTCAATCAACCCGTTATCGGGCCAACCATTGGGCGGCTTATTATTTGCATCGCTCTCCCAATCAGCTTCTGTTGGGTTATCACAGTATTCATTGATTCTCTCGACTGAAACTATATTGGTTTCCATCTCCGATGTCATTCTAACCAACCAATTGAGTGTTTGTGTGACACTTAAGGCATAAGTAATAATCAAACCGACAAAACCGGGATTGGCTCGAAAGCTGTCGCGATAATAGACTGCAAAGACTGAGGCAAAGAGTGTAATAAAATTGCCGCACAGTTCGAGGCGAATGCCGAGCCATCGATTGGCACAAACACTGGGATAATAAAAGACTTGATTGTAATCTACTTTATTGTTAGACTCTGAGATAAATCTCCGGGTCGACCCGTAAGCTCTGATTGTACTGACGCCGGACAGGGTTTCGCTAAAATGCGAATATATTGGCGAACGCGTCACCGACTGTTTGCAAATGACATCAATATTTAAGTTAATATATATTTAAATATATATTGTTTACAATGAACTTACTTCAAGGCGTTTAAGTTGTCTGGAAGTCGAGACATAGAATTTCTGTGAATAAAAAATAATTTAAGTCAATGTTTGTAGAAATATATCCCAAAACAGAGTCCAAACCTGAATGAAGTAATAGAAGAAAGCAAGGGGAAGGATAAACACCAGGAATATAGGGGTTTCGAAACCAATCAACAGAAAAGTTGCGACAACTTGGAGAAGACATAAAAGCCAACCCCTGATGGTATGAGGAATAGTGGAGTCAACAACATCAATGAAGACTGAGGCAAAGAGTGTAATAAAATTGCCGCACAGTTCGAGGCGAATGCCGAGCCATCGATTGGCACAAACACTGGGATAATAAAAGACTTGATTGTAATCTACTTTATTGTTAGACTCTGAGATGAATCTCCGGGTCGACCCGTAAGCTCTGATTGTACTGACGCCGGACAGGGTTTCGCTAAAATGCGAATATATTGGCGAACGCGTCACCGACTGTTTGCAAATCATATCAATATTTAAGTTAATATATATTTAAATATATATTGTTTTCAATTAACTTACTTCAAGGCGTTTAAGTTGTCTGGAAGTGGAGACATAGAATTTCTATGAATAAAAAATCATTTAAGTCAATGTTTGTACAAATATATCCCAAAACAGAGTCCAAACCTGAATGAAGAAATAGAAGAAAGCAATGGGAAGGATAAACACCAGGAATATAGGGGTTTCGAAACCAATCAACAGAAAAGTTGCGACAACTTGGAGAAGACATAAAAGCCAACCCCTGATGGTATGAGGAATAGTGGAGTCAACAACATCAATGTCTTTACTGAAACGGTTAACAATTCTCCCCAAAGGAGTCGTATCGAAGAAAGACATCGGAGACCGAAGTATTCGCGCCAAAAGACTTGTGTGAAGAGTACGCGACGCTATTACGGTTCCCCTCGCCATTGCATACGCGGCCAATAACACCAGAAATGCTTTATATTTAAGCAAACGGTATACAGTATTCACATAATTTATATTACAGATTATTTGTCATATTTAAAGATTACACGAACAAAGGAAACAACACATACCCTGAGCGGCTCCCAGTAGGCCATAGACTCCAAGTCTCATATTTCGCTGATCGATGTCTTGCGTGCCATTCCTGGGCTTATCGTTAGACCAAACTGGGTTCCATGGATTACATGGATTACACATTATTACATTATATAATATTAGGAAAATTACTAAATGTACTTGCTACTCAAGTTTGGAACTCACCGGCTAGCCATATGTTTGAGCCAACACTGGCCACTTGCATACCAACCATACCAATGCACACCAGCACGAGCCACAAATAAGTGAGAGCTCGGAAGTACGTGGCGTATATCGACAATTTCACTTTTCCCGTCTCAGTTTTTTCAGTCTCTATTAATTTGTTTTTATCCTTTTCGGTGTCCTTTTCCACGCTTAAAGAGCGCGAAAACTTATCACTGATCACCGACTCCTGTCGATTCAGAAGCGGTCCATTGCTCTCCTTGTGTTCAACAGAGAACTCTTGAATAAACTCAGAGAAGTCGCCCTTAGTTTCCATTAACTGTTCATAAGTTCCCGTTTCATGTATTCTTCCGTCTTTTAGACAAAAGATTTTGTCAACAAATGGAAGGAAACTTAGATTATTTGTAATCAATAAACGGGTCTTTTCTTTGAGGAATCCCTTTTCATTACTCAACACTTTTTCAAACATATGTTTAGCGACGTGTGAGTCGACGGCAGACAATGGGTCGTCCATAAGGACAATATCTGCGTCCGAATAACAGGCGCGCGCGACAGACACTCTCTGTT